CACCCATCAAAAAAACATCCATCCATTTATCCGTTGGTACTAATTTTCGCATTAATAATAGGATTAAATTCAAATATAATAATGTGCAAGCTTTAATTTTAATAAAATATCTAGAGATCTCAATTTAGATTTCTTTAATTTTAAAATAGAATTCGCAAGACATATGCTAAGTCGACAGTTCTTTGATAGTTCATCTTTGAGCGTGTGATTTCAACTTTTTATTGTACACAACTGCCTATCCTTAATTAATAATTTATTTATTTATTCATTCTGATTCGATACATATAGCACGATTCAAGTATACACATAGATCTTACACAATGTGATGGCTTAACAACTCGAACATATTAAATCTTAAGATCAGACCAGAAAAATAAAGAAAGTACACTAGTTATTCTGTGAAACAAATAAATTAAAATAGCCACCCAGCAATGTTAGTATGTGTACTAATATAATGTTGATACTCTAAGTTCAATTTAGTTAATTGTAAGTATTAGCTGTGTTGATGTGGCAATGGGCTGGTCACATAGCTCGAAGCACCGACAACTGATGGGGGAAAAAAGGTTCTTGAGTGGAGAACTCGTACGGGTAAACGCAATATAGAACGACCCCCCACTAGATGGAGTGACGACTTGAAATGCACTGCAAGGAGTCAGTAGATGTAGGTGGCTCAGGACCGTTCTTTATGGCAGTCTATGGGAGAGGCTTATGTCCAGCTGTGGAAGGATAATGGCTAAAATGAATGAATGAAATGATTAGCAATGTCATGTGCATTAGTTAAATCATGTTTTTATTTGTGAAAACCTGTAATTGGCTTTCTGTCTTTAAAGTTTCTTTTTTATTATAAAATTCTCTAGCTGTTGGTATTTCTTTAATAGAAAATAAAATAAATTAAAAATAATTTGTAAGATTAATTGATATAAATATGAAAACGATATGCATTTGTTATGTCTTAACCATTCGTTACGAAATTTGGTAAACAGGTATTAAATTGGGTGGAGAAGAGTTTAGGCTTCCAAGTATACCCTGTTGAAGCGAACTAAATCGCGAGAAAAATAATGAATATTTAATAATATACCCGAAAAAATTATAAATATAAAAACACTGACAAAATTTAAGAACACACTGTACAAATGGCTTTTGGAGAAATGTTATTACTCAATTAAGGACTTGTTGGACTAAAGAATAATTCTACTTTATAAGCGCATAAATAATATTTTGTTAACAGTATTTGGAAAGAAGTTACCATGAATATTAAAATTTTGCATGCCATTGTTTTGGCAAAACACGCCTGTTCCTAACATATTATTGCTAACATCTGTATACCGTGTTTTTCAGCAAATAAATTATATTATTATTATTATATTATTATTATATTATTATATTATTATTATTATTATATTATTATTATATTATTATTTTTTAAATTTCACTAAAATTCTCATCTCCCCTCTTAAGGAGAGGAGATGGCAACTAACCCCCGGCAGAAGCACAGTCGGCCGGGGTTCAGGGCCCCAGGGAGAGAAACCGGCGTACAATGCGGGCAGAATCTAAGAGCATCGGAATCCCAACCGTCTGAGATGTTGTTCCAGACTGGTTGGGATAAGACCGTTCACCGACATAACGATTGGGATGATTTCGGTAGATGTCACCCCCACATTTCGGTCACCTCGTGAGCCAGGTCGAGATATTTTCTCTTCTTCTCGGTTTCGGCTTTCACGAGGTTCTCGTCATGCGGTATGGTGACATCCACCAAAAACACCCTCGAGAGTGCCCGATCCATCACCACGATATCAGGTTTGTTCGCAAGAACGGTTCTGTCCGTGATGATGGATCGGTCCCAGTAGAGCCTTACGCTGTCGCTTTCGAGGACCGGCTGGGGCTCGTACTTATAGTACGGCAACCTCTCATTAGGCCGTACTTCAGAGCTAGCTCTTGATGGAGTATTTTGGCTACCTGGTTGTGTCTGTGCAAGTACTCAGTGTTGGCAAGATGAACAACCCGAAGCACATGTCTGAGTGACTCTCCGGGATGGCGACATGCCCGACAGATGTCCTCAGTGCCATCCTTCAGAATGTGCTTTCGGTAATTGTTCGTCTTAACCACCTGATCCTGTATTGCACAGACAAAACCCTCGGTCTCTCCGAAGAGATCACCGAACTGTAGCCAGTGCACGGAGGTCTTCGTGTTTACGTCTTCCTTCCGTGCAACTCCTTCTCTTTCCATACGGCCTCCCGCTGAGAGGTACCCAAAACTTCGGGTTTTCGCCAGTCCTCTTTAGCCAGAGAAAGAGGGGTGAATCCTTTGTCACATTCTATGACCTCTCTATGCAAACCCTCGTCTATTTTCTCCAGAAAATATGTCCTGAGGCTGTCAACCTCGCGGTTGTGCATGGTCTTAACACTTAACAAGCTTCGACCACCAGCCTTCCGCGGGATATACAGCCTCATGACTGACGATGATGCATTTGGAGGGTCATAGTTGCGGACTTTCCGATCCAGGGCTTCGAGATCGGTTTGAGACCATCTGAGCACGCCAAAAGTGTAAAGGAGTACGGGTATGACCCAGCCGTTATAAGCTCGGATTTTATTGGAGCCCGACAAAGAACTTTTCAGTACTCTTGTAAGGCGCGCAAAAAATTCCTCGCGGACTGACTGTTTCATATCCGTTTCCTTCACACCGATGTTTTGTGACATGCCCAGATACCGGTAGAGAGGGTTTTAATATTAGGGATCTGTTCCCTTCAGTTTGAACCCGTCCCCTCTGCACATGGAGGACTGCGCACTTGTCTATTGCGCCATCCTAATAGAGCTGCTATAATCGTTTACGATATTTAGCAGCTCCGTCAGGCGTTCGACGCTCGGAGCTAGCAGTTTCAAGTCATCCATGTACAGAAGGTGAGACACTCGTGTACCTCCTCTCCGATACTGAAATCCAGTCCCCGAATTCTCCAGTAAAGTACTGAGTGGATTCAGGGACAGGCAAAACCAAAGTGGACTCAAACAATCGCCCTGGAATATTCCCTCTTTATCTCTATACGGTCAGCGGTATCCGTCAATCGCTCGCCCTGGATAGTCAGGATCGTCGTCCACTGCCCCATGCATGCCTCCAAGAACACTCGAACTGTACCGTCGATCTTGTACAGCTCGAGTATCCTCCGGAGCCATGAATGGGGCACGGAATCGAACGCCTTTTTATAATCTATCCAGGCGGCGGAGAAATTCCGACGGTTCCGCTTGACCACGTGGCCAGCGACAGCATCAATGAGGAGCTCCTTCGATCCGCGGCTACCGCCCCTGCATCCGTTCTGAGCGCTAGATAGGATCTTATTCTCTTACACATGACGAGAGATCTTAGCGCTCAGAACGGATGTTAACGTCTTATATATTGTCGTAAGACAAGTGATGGGGCGATATTTAGATGGATCCGCGGTATCGTCCGTCTTAGGAGCTAAATGAGTGATCCCGGTTGTAAGGAAGTTCGGGAGCGTCCTGTTTTCGAGGGCACTCTGGAATTGCACGGCTAAGGTCGCATGGCTGGCCGAGAACGCCTTTAACCAGTAGTGCTGCAATCCGTCGATCCCCGGACTTTTCCAGTTCGGAGCCCGACGGATCGCGGCAACCACGTCTTCCTCCGTAATGGCAATGGCGTTCATCGGCGTTATTCGAGCACATGCTTCCTCAACATTCATGTTCCACAGGTTCAGACCACAGCTGTCTCCAGAAGGCGACGAAATTGGCTGTTTCGGGTCTTTGTCCTGTGGGCTGTAGTTTTGGGCGCTCCAAGTTCCTATAAAACTTCCGTTGATCACTCATAAAGAGGCGATTCTGTTGATACCTCTCAACCCTCTCAGAGTACCGTCGGAGTCGCTTCCCCCATGCAGCGATCTTCTGCTTCAGTTCATCTATGCGCTCCGTAAGTTTGTGCTTCCGGCTGGAACAGACGTACATGTCCCAGCAAAGGCCTCTTTTACGGAGCGCATAATTCTCGGGCGTGTGTTGCCCTCCCTGAAGCAGAGCAGTCTACCAATGAGGACTCTGGCCTGGGCGATCCGTCTTTCAATCCTTCTTTTCCAGGCTGGTTTCATATTATCCCTTTGGATATTACGTCCAGCCCGGGGCATTTTTGCGCCGGTATATCGGCATACTGCCAACGCAGCGCCAAACAGGATTGAACTCGTCTCTCCCAGGTCACCGCTGCCCTCAAGGTACTGAGGCAGCAGTCCATTTGTGGCCTCAATGGCATCCCGCGTCGCCACATTTAGATATATCCGGGAAGCTTCGGTCTCTCTTCGAGGGGAGTTCTTCGGATCTCTAGAATCGCCTCGTCTAGTATGCTCCTCATATGCTCTATATCCTGGGAAGTTGTTCCGTCCGCATCCGCTTCTGAAAGCGTTTCGGCAACCACCTCTACGCTAGGTAGCACGTCTGAGATGGGTTGCTCTACGGTCGCGGAGTTTGCTTCTATTCACTTCGCAATCGTTCGAGTTCGGTCGCGCTAAACATACCAGAGCGCTGTATGTACCGAACTCTGTCGGCTAGGTTCTGTTCCGAGACGGTTAGATCCGGTAAAAGACGCAGAAACTCGCGGTGCATTACTGCGCGGTATCCTGTTCTGCCTGTTTCTGTCCCTGTAGCCCTGAAGAACGCACGCATGAGGTCCTCATTCATGGCTCTTGTCCACCTCATGCGATTGACGGCCCTGCCGGCGCCAAGCCAGCTGATGTCGATGGCGAGGGGTCGGACCGGCCAGGTGGTGGGGCCGGTCGGCTGGCTCGCATTCTGCCGCGCCTACCGCCAGTTGTACCCTATACTGTCTCCATTATAATTATTCACCATCTTTATTTTTGCCATTGCCCCTTTAGCCGCGTAGGTTTTATTTATACGCGTGACCGCCTTCCACGTGAGCTAGATGGTGAGCTCGGACGCGGGGTTGGACTTTGGAAGGCATATATTATTATTATTATTATATTATTATTATTATAATAAATATTGTTCTAGATCTGAAAGTTTCTACGCCCCGTTTCTCCGGCGCGTCGTGGCTGGCGTTGCGCGCGTTGCGAGGCGCTTATAAACGCGTGCGTCTACGGATGAGGGTGCGACCTGAGCGTGCGCGCGGCGTCCTCCTCCTCACTGGTGAACACGACGACCTGTCTGGGGATTACCTGGCGCTGATCCTGAGGAACGGTCATGTGGAGCTGCGGTGAGTTGGCTGAAACTATACACATATATGTAATCCCAGCTAGATAGATACATTGTTACAATTATTGTAGGATTCTGTTTTTTCTTTTTTGCAAATAAAATACAGCCTATGTTATTTGCTGATAAGATTTTTTATACCACTGAGGCAGCAAACCAACATACAGCCCACTTGACAATAAGCAGTTGCCATAGCTTCTGGACACCAGCAATATCTTTTTACCCCTGTTTTAAAGAACCCCATGTTGTACTATCTTGGAAAAACCTCGATAAGGAACTCTTTCCATAGCCTGAGCATTCGTGGGCTGAAAATTATTGATTTCACGACCAGCTGACCGGCTTTTATTTTCATTTATGATTTCTCACTGGTGTTCCGCTAGCGTATACTGATAGCATAGACGGGGTTACCATTCCATTGTCACCTATTAAAAAAGTACCTCTCATACGGTACTAAAACTGATTGCGGTAACAAAACTTTTTTTAAAGATATGTCCAGCCACAGATAATATTATAACAGCGTATACATCCAGCTGTAAAGTTGTTACTACAGATAATTTTTTCCATCGTTTTTAATTTTCTTTGAGAAATATGTACAGTTTCACCTGTTTTTTTTTTTATTACATTTTAAAGATCTTCACGAATCCTTCCGTTACAATTAATTTGCAATGTTAGAATTATACAAACAAACAAACAAACAAAATAAAAAAAAAACAAAATAGAAGTTTACAAACATTAAATAAGTACTTTTCAATATTCCTGATTAATAATTAAAAAAGGCAGTGAACTAAAATATTAATTTTCATATTCTGCCTCCTTTTATATATTCCTATTTGTAGTACGCTTTTAAAGCAAATTTTACCTGGTAAGGATGCAAAAAGTACTTTAAAAAAAGCTTTTAAAACACGTACGCCCGCATATTGTACGTTTCATACAAATGAACTTCATTTCTCGAACATTGTTACATAAAAAAGAAATAACACACACGCTTTGCAGCTATTAATTTTAATTTTCGATTCTCCAATGCTTTGAAAATATATGAACACATATATATACCTATATGAATCGAACAGTTTAGTCCGTTAATAGCCCATAAAATTCGCTTTCTATTGCCGTTGAAAGCAGTCAGTACATAAAACAAATCCAATTATGTGAGGACGTGAAACGAGCTATAAAAGTCTTTGTGTTGCATAATGTCCTATGAGATGGATTAGAAATAGTTAATAACGCCATCTATCGAGCGTGCCGCTTGAAGTAATAATTTTAGGTTTTTTTTTCATGGATGATAATGGAATAGTAACCCCGTCTGCGCTATCGGTATACACTGACAGGGCACCAGTGAGGGATGATTAGAGAAGGTGAAAAGACAGGTCAGTTAGCCCATCGTGACGAATTCAACGATAAATTAGTCACGATGGTTTCCGGGGGAAACCGCGTGGAGGTCGACCTAGTAAGGTATATTGATAGCAATAAGGACTAACCCCCATTACTAACAATCCCTTCCCCCCAATAATTTTAGGTTTTGTTTCGTAAAGCAGTAAACAATTTGATGGCCCACATGATGGAAAATAGTGACCTTTGCCTTTGGATATAAACAGCACATAATATATAATATAATATTATACCTATGGCACCTCTTATGTATTGAAAATTACGAATAAATGACTGAATTAAAACTCTTTATTATTTGTTCACTTTAAAGTATGATACAGATTATAAAGATTAACAATATGTACACAAATAAAATGAATACTTAATTACATAAAAGCAAGAAAAAGAGGCAACTATGGACGGCCTTATCGCTAAATAGTGATCTTTTCCAGGCAACCTTAGGATGGAGAGGAATAATGAAAATTGTGTTTGGTCAAGGCGTAACAGAATAATAATGAGACTAAAAATATATGATGTTATTTATATATTTATTTATTATTTAGTCTTTTTTTTACACCACTAAGGTGGCAAACAAGCATACGGCCCACCTGCTGGTAAGCGGTAACCGTAGCCTATGAACGCCTGCAATATCAGAGGTATTACGCGCACGTTGCCGACTCTGAAGAAACCTCTTTACATCCCGTTTGAAGAACCCCATGCTGTAGTCTCTTGGGATAACCTCGGCAGGGAGCTCGATCCATAACTAGGTGACTTTTATAATTTTCCAATACGTTTACCTATGAATGCAGAAAAGTAGAATAAATACTGTATTAAAGATAAAATGCAAACAATGAATAAATAAAAAACAAAATATATGGTCACGAAGCAAGATTATATTCATATATGTATTTCTACATAGCAATGTGATACACTTAATATACATATATACATATAATAAGTGCTTTATATAATTCTCAATTTCATGTATAATATAGTATATATCATATATGTGTAAGTATATTTGTAATTTATATATATTTACTCGTTTATATATGTAATTTTAGTATATATGTATATCAATAATTAGTAGTACCGCATTCGACTATTCTGACACTTCCCTATGGTTGACTGGGAGAGAATGCTTTTAGCACTAAGTCCGCCATGTACACATATACATATATATTAATGAATTAATAAATACACATATTAATAATTATTACTTTAGCCGTTTATTGTCCATTACTGGACATAAGTCTTCCCCCTAGGAGGGTTTTGCCAGTAGTTGTCACGCTTGGCAGGTGGTTTGGCAACCGCAGTTAGGCTTTTAGAGATGTTTTAAGAGAGACGCTGCTGCCCATCCCTCGTCCACACATAATAATACTCGTATATAAAACTTTGCATTTTAACTTGCTGAATATAAATATTCTATGTCTACCTGATAAAATTTCAGCAAATTGTAGGCAATTATGTCTAATGTAGATGCTGGTACATAACAAGAGACCTTGCTTGACCAATTCTATTCTCCTTAACGGTCAAATGAATACCGTCGACGTGCGGGCTTGCAGTTATGGTATACTTTCCTACCCTGTAATCTCACTGCCATATCTCAACCTTCAAACCGAAATACAGCCATGTAAACATAGCCGCTTAATATTAGAGACACGGATGGGCCACAGGTGTCCAAGCAGACTTTTTTAGTCTCTCTCTGCTTATAATAATTATTCAAAATTATTATTAAATTATTCTGTCCCATTTGTGTTTTTACCGTGAAGCAGTTGTGTTTGCATGACTGTGTTTCGGTTTGAAGGGTGGGATATGGCAGTGAATTTACAGGGTACAGAGGAATAACACCTTAAGTCCGCAGGAATGGAAACGCTATGGGAGGTATCTGAGCTAAACAGTATACTCTGTTATCTTCATGGTACTGCTCATGTCTATAGGCTACAGTCACCACTTTCTATCAGGTTTGTTTGCCATTCTAAGTTGTATAAAAAATCAGTTACAAATAATATTAATATCATATAACAAAAATTACGTCGAAAAACCAATTTTGTTTAATTAAAAATAAATTGCCAATTATTGTTAAGCGTATTACCATAATTATGATGAATTTCAAACTATATTACAATGCAATTACGCACTTGAATGTATTCAACTATTATTTTTGGATGCATAATAAATTAATTATCAAACTACATATATGTACGATATGAATTCAATTATTGTAATCAGATTTAAAACTTTCATGATTTACGATGAAACTAGTTTTAACTCATGAGTTCGTCTTTAGTGTAGAATATGCTCTTTTACTAGGAAATTACTAGCGTATATGTTTTTTTTTTTTTATCTCAAATAGTATCCAATTTCATGACAATTAATTATCCAAATCTGTTCAACAGTTTTTGCATGGAAGAGTAATAACCATCCATCCATCTTCACAATCATTTGCATTTATATTAGTAATAAATAAAGAATTTTTGTAAGCGATTTTTGTAATTTTTGTTATATTTTATTTGCCGTAAATAAAGTAGGTTTTGGTGGTCTTATATAAAGTGAAATTTCTTCAACATTAAAGTATAAATTATAATATAAATTACAATAAAAAGTTATCGAGTAGTTGTTGTTGTCACATGTCGTGCTGTAATAAAAAAAAAATCAGTTCATCTTCACAATTATTTACATTTATAATATGTAGTAGTAAGTTTTTTATTAGTAGTCTAATGTTAAACCGTCTAATGTGTTAACAAGTCTAATGTTTACCGGGGGGAAAGGGATTGTTAATAATGGGGTCAAATAGCCAAATTACTAGCAATATAACCTGTCAGGTCGACTTCCACGTGGTTCGCCCCGGAAACCATCGTGGCTAATTCTAGTTGAATTCGTCAGGATGGGCTAACTGACCTGCTTTTATCCTCATCAGTTATTTAACACTGGTTCCCCTGCCAGTGAATACCGATAGCGTAGGCAAGGTTACTATATAATTATCACTCATTAAAAAAACTCTAAACCCTGGTTCTTATATTAAATAAAGTTTCTTAAACCTTAAAATATAAATAGTTGTTTAAATTCCCTCGTAGGTATCATATGAAGTACTAGGTATGCATAACTCGACAAAAGTACAATTCACAACTCTGTGTGATTGGGAAACATTGCCTCCGGCGCGGCGCGGGCATCGAACGTCATTCATTGGTAATCAGTCACTTTCTTCCCTCGGCCGAACAATGTACTATTGTATTGAGGCCAGATCCCTTTCGGGGTACCGGGAAACAGTACCAGAGGCCTCTATCCGTTGCTATTAATAGAATTTGTGGAATAACAAATAGATTTTGCTGCGTAAAAATAACGAATTCCTTTGAATTCGCAATTCGTGACAACATTAATATTGACTAGCAATCTCATTATTGCGTCGTGCGGTATAGAGTCCCGGCATAGAATCCCCCCCCCCCCCCTTTTTTTTTCTCGTGGGTGTCGTAAGAGGCGACTTAAGGAGCATAAAGGTTGAGAGTAGTAACGTCCTTCTTAAAACATCACCGAAACTTAATTGAGGTTGCCAACAAGCTTGCCAAGCGTGGCAATTACTGGCAAATACCCCCCCCCCCCCCCAATACGGTCTACGTTCAGTAGTGGATAGTAACGGCTGATATGATGATGATGATGGGTCTTGTAAGAGGCGATTAAAGGAGGGCAATGGATGGGCAGTAGCGTCCCTCTAAAAATATCTTCAAAGCTTAACTGCGGTTGCTAATCCGCCTGCCAAGTGTGACAAAACTCCCCAAGCCACTCCGGCTTATGTTCAGCAGTGGTCAATTAAAACCTGATATGATGATGATCAGGAATATGATGATAATCTTATTGTAAAACGAATAAATTATACTTTCCGTCATTTCTGTAGTATCATACACATCTCGCGCGAAAGTGAATGATACGTATTCGAATATCTAGCGTTAAAGTAATAAAGATGAAAAAAGTGACTTCAGAGTCATATAATAGAAGGTAATGGAAATCATTTTCACGCCAAGTCCCTAGCGGAGTAGATAGAGAAAATTGACAAAGGCCTTACAGACATTTCTTGCTTACTGCACTTTTAAAATTCGTCACATGCGCACATGCCAGTTCTAGAAAGTTCTGACACTGAGAGTAAGGCGCAATTTATGTAGCTTGAGGTATTTAAGATTCAATTGACACGGCAGATCAGTGTTGGTATTTTAATATGATATTTTTTTTTTATTTGTCTCTTTTAAGCTACTTGAAACTAATTAGATACTTTAACAAACTTTATAGACATTTAAACGAATATAATATAAAAGGAAAAATTTGATTTTTTGTTTGTAATGAATAAACGCAGAAAATACTTAACCGATTTTAATTTAATTTAGAATGGCAAATAAGCTGATGGCCCATTTGATGGAAAGTGGTAACCGTCGCCTATAGACATGAGCAGTACCATGGACATAACAGAGTATATTGTTTCGCCCATGGCACCCCCATGCGTTGCCATTCTTGAGGACTCAGGTGTTATTCTTTTGTACCCTGTAAATTCACTGATGTATCCCACCCTTCAAACCGAAACGCAGTAATGCAAACGCAACTGGTTTATGGTTGAAAAACGGATGGGACAGAGGGACCCAAGCAAATGACTTTTGTACAAAGTCTCTCTCTGGTAGAATATGATTTTAAAAATTCTTTCACCTATAGAAAGTTTACATAATCAGGGAGTAATATGGGCTGTATTTTATCTTTCTCTCTCTCTCTCTCTCTCTTTGGTGACAGAGTAAGAATATCCATTTGTTATTCTGATGGTAAATGACGATGGATGATGACGTACAAAATAAACAAATGCCACACAACTCTCAATTATCAATTGCTTGTTCTTTAAACTGGGATTTCTCATAACTAAAGTGTCACTTAATTTTCTTATTAATTATACTACTCGTTTTATTAAAAAATCGACTCTAAATATTAAATATTTGGTCACAGATTCGACTGCGGTAGTGGAGCGGGAATCCTTCGATCTCCCGAGCCGGTCCGGCTTGGTCGCTGGAACACCATATCGGTGTACCGTCACCGGTGGGACGCTTGGCTGAGGCTGAACAACGGGAAGAGAGTCAGAGGTCGCTCTAAGGTAAATAACTTTATTTGTATGTAAAAATCAAATATGCATGCGTCTTGTTTTACCATTCAATCGAGACAGTTGATGGTCCATTTAATGGAAAGTGATAACCGTCCTTTCTGCGTTTTTTTTTTAATGGATCAGTTAGTCCATCGTGATAAATATATCTGGAATTCAGCACGTTGGTTGCCAGAGGGGACTACGTGGAGGTCAACTTGATGGGGTATATTGCTAGCAATGGGACAGGTGTCCGTTACTAACAATCCTAACCCCCCTCCCCTTCTGTATAATGATATTGTGAAAACCAAGCCTGAACTTGATATTCACTTTGACAGTCACTCTGTGTTCATGTCTAAATTAAAAAGTTATGTGTAATTTATTTATAATTTAATTTAAATTTAATTAAAATAATATAATCATATGTATATATTATTAATATTTTTATTTATTTGATAACATTTAATAATTTAATTCTATTTTAATGTTTCACAAACACAAAGTATGCAGTGGTTGCCTCTAAATGTAAAAAACAGTTAGCCACAATTCACTAGTGTATTGTATTGAAATGTTTCGCTGTATCTTATGTTGGTAATCTTATAAATAAATAAATAAACAGGACAGAATATACTATGACATATTTATTTATACAAGATACATAATATGTTCACAGTAATTAAACAGAATTGATACAATGCTGTAAACAAGCTTAAAGCTAGATAAACATATCAATTAGAGGCATATACTGCTGTCATAGATAAGTGTTTGTTTATACTATGGTAACAATTATATAATGAAGACTTAATTAGTAATCTATACAGTTAGTAAACTTATTAAATTGTATCGAATAATTTGCAAAGATGCCAATTACAAAGTTAATGTTTGTGACTTTATTATAAGTTGACGACATTCTGTTGAGGGGGGAAAGGGGATTGGTAGTAATGAGAATTGACAATCCCATTGCTTGCAATATACTCTATCAGGTCGACCTCTACGCGGTTCCCCCAGGAATCTATTGTGATTGATTTATTGTTAGTTACGATAGCCCAACTGACCAGCTTCATCCTCACCTATCATCCCTCACTGGTGCCCCGCCAGTGTATACCGATAGCGCAGGCGGGGTAACCATTCCATTATCATCCATTAAAAAAACATTCTGTTGAGGAAGGAAATAGAGTCTATATTTGAACAACAAGCGTATGTGGAAAAAGTAGTTGTTATTTTATAGATCTAATATTACTATTACGTTTTACGTTAACATCGTTAAGGGCATATGGCGATATTTCCCAACGTGGGGCTAACGCCCCACAGGGGCAATTTGATAGTAATGGGGGCACAATTAAAAAATGGACTCAAAGTGACTTTAACCCTCTTGCTCCGGGCCATTTAAATGTAATGCTACCAGTAGGTATCGGTGCCAAATTTAATAAAAGAAAGTAAATAAAAAAAAATGCTGTAAATATTTATTAGGTATATCGTTTGACATTACTAAAATATCAACTGGGCGATTAGAGTCGTCAAGTAAATTTTGTCGGGAAAAATTATGTATGGGGGCATAAAAATTTTATAAATATTCAAGTGGGGCATGACACAAAAAAGGTTGGGAAACACTGGCATAAAGTATCAGAATGAGACCATTTACAATCTTGAATAACAGTATGAGATATGAGAAGCTAAACGAAGAAAAAAGAGTCCAATTTATTTACATAATATTACAACACTATGAGATCTGTAACTCGTCTACGCTGAGTCATTGTTTTCAATCGATTTAAAAAAGAAGAAAGTTCTTAATTTGAATGTACGAATGAATGAAAACTCTTTATTGTTCCCTTTAAAGAATGATACAGATTATAAAGATTCATAATACGTACGTAAAAAAAAAAATTACGTAAACTTAATTCACATAAAAGCAAAATAAAGTGGCAACAGTGGCAAAATTATATTGTATTTTTTTTTATGTTTGTTACCTCATAATTTGATCAAAATGGGGTCAGTAATTTAGTTTTTAAATCAAAACAACAGGCCACTATTAAAGACAGTTTTTTTTTGTGGAATACAATCGTAAACTGTCATATATTTACTTTTTGCTAATATTATAAATTTAATGTGAAAGTGAGTTTGTTTTTTTTTATTTAGTATACATGTAGTAAATAATATATAGCTAATTTTTATCTCAGTCTATCAATATATGTATCCTAGTCACGCAGACAGATAAAGTCACGGTTATAAATTAGTTTATAATATTTGTAAGGATAAACAAATGCTTCAACTCATCACAACTCGATTTTCGCTCCAGGGATTTAATAAATGTATATAATTAAATAAATTATCAGTACATTGAAATATAAATGAAGGTAACACAATATTCGGCGCCGAGATGGTAGTTCAACGCTCGCGTAGTGATGTGCCGAGTTAAACTGACTCGAGTAATCACTCGAACACCTAATACATACTCAACTCAGTTATATGGTAGTCGAATACAGATTTCGAGTACATACGATACTCGAATACAAGTAGTGTGTTTATTATAAGTTATTCTGTTCCAACTTTTCATTAATATATTCTTTAACTAGCTTTTAACTGCGACGTCGTCCGCGTGACAAGGATATGTTCTCATATCGTGATAAAAAGTGTTCTTTTTTACCTATACACCATTTGTTAGTAATTGGTTAAGCCATTGAGGCGCCATGGGATAATAAATAAGCAAACTCACTTTCACATTTATAATATAAGTAAAAAATATCAAAGACAATTAGTCGTGTGGTTCCGACATAGAATGCGCCACCCCTTTAATTCCCGTGGGTATCATAAGAGGCGACTAACGGAATTTAATGGTCAATGAAGGATGGGAAGCAGCGTCTCTCTTAAAATATCACTAAACCCTAACTGCGGTTGCCAATTCGCCTACTAAGCGTGTTAACTACTGGCAAAACCTCCATAGGAGAGAACTATGTTTAGCGTCCATTGTTAACGGCTGTATCATCATCACCAAAGTAGAAAAATAAACTTAAGACACAAATTAAAAGAAGACTAAAATACTAGAGATACAGAACTCGAATACCCATACTCGATTAAGTACTCGATTGAATCTTAAATTCGACTCAGGATTTAATTACATTTTAAACGAATTCCAAAAAAGCGAACGGCACATCACTACATTTGTATAATGACCAACTCCTCTAGCAATTAAAACTTTACTCTCAACAAATACTGTCTCAAACCACGAATGTGCTATTGAAAAGGGTTCAGGTATATACGAGAACATTACATTAAGTATGGGATTACATTATTGTGTAAGGATACGTATCTAATATTTAATTTTAAACTATTTTAGAATAGAGGCCATTTAAAATTTTCCTATCAAATCCTCGCTGTTTCGTTACTCATTTCTTTAATTATTTTTTATATAGTTTAATTAATTTAGTAAGAGGTAATTGCAGTTGTACCCATTTGCATTTTTGTTGTACTTTGTTAAGAGAGGGACTGACTGAAAACCAGCACTGTGCAGCTGTACACACTGCACTGGGACACTCACAGCATCAGCTTGTTTCTTTTGTCTAATATGAGATACTACTTATACTCGTATGTGTATTTTTTGTATTTTCTGTTATAATTGCCGTTTTTCTGGCAATAAATATTGCATATTCGATTCTATTTTAATGTTACTTTCCTAATTTTGTCGTAAAAACAAGCATGTAGCATACCTAATAGTAAGCGATACCGTAGCCTATGGACGCCTGCAATAACAGAGGCATTACGTGTGCGTTGCCGACTCTGAAGAAACCTCTTTATTCCTTTTTTTAAAGAACCCCATGCTGGAGTCTTTATTTGTATCTATATAATAGTGTGCCACCTACTGTTTGTCTTTTTCTCAATGCCCTCTACCCAAAAGTAGTTTGGAAGAGATTTTTTAGCGATAAAGCCGTCTTATGTATCACGTCTCTCTTATATTTACTGTACTTATTTTTTTTACTTGGTACAATAAAGTGTAAAATAAATAAAAAAGTATTTTGGAAAATTCTCCACAGGGAGCTTATTCAATAACGTGACCTGTCGTGGGAAAATACACATCTGAAATTAATATTAATAATATAAATGCAAAAGTTTGTAATGTTAAATGAACGGATGGATGTTTGTAACCTTTCACGCGAAAAGTGCTGAACGGATGTAAACGAAATTTAGTAAAGGGATAGGTTATGTCATAACACATAGAATACCTTTATATATTATTTCACATGGGTTTAGCCTCGGAATATAGCTAGTGTTGAATAAAGTCTTAAATTATAAAAGTAATGGGTGTTTTTTTTATACCACTGAGGTGGCAAACAAGCATACGGCCCACCTGATAGTAAGCGGTTACCGTAGCCTATGAACGCCTGCAATAACAGAGGTATTAGGCGCGCGTTGCCGACCCTGAAGGAATCTCTTTACCCCTCTTTTGAAGAACCCCATGCTGTAGTCTCTTGGGAAAACCTCGGCAGGGAGCTTATTCCATAAACTGACCTTTCGTGGGAAAATACACATCTGAATGGTCTAGTTATTGATACAAAATAATAAGTAAATATACTTCTAGAAGGTATAATTTCAAGCGATTACAATGAGGACAAGGATTCAGTTTAAGCCCTAGCGCTAATAGAAATTATTATAAAAATTGGCATAGAATTAGGAATGGTATAGCGTACTAAAACACATACTAATACACGCGCTCACGTTTATACGCACGCGTGTACCACGCACACGCGCACACACCATGCACGTACACGCACACGCATCCCGACCATTCCAGCACCACGGATTATAAGTAGAAAATTTGAAGATATGGAATATGATTTTGTTATACTGTATGTTGTCAGGGGTGTTCTTCTCTAGAAATTTGTCCGATTCTATAATAAGGGCTTACAGGTATGCGACTCCGGCCTTTCGAGCCGCTGCAGTGTCCCAGTCCTTTCCGAAACTGCAGTGTCCCTCCCTTTCCTTTCCAACATAAGTCCCTTATTCCTCTCATTTACAAATTT